CTTCACCAAAACCACCTTTAGCCAAATATTCAATATTTTTGAATTCATTAAAAGGAATCCATTCAATATAACTATCTCTATATCTATTTATTTTTTACATTCATAAAGAAACCTGGCTATTTCTTTATTTCCACAATCAGCCTCTAAGTTTCCAATTTCCTTTTCTTTGCAACCATTGCACAATGCAAATTTGTTTAATCTAACATTTGTGTGAATTAAATTGAGATATGATTCTTTAATTAATTTTTTACTTTCTTCATTTTCTTTTAATCTATTTGAAAGTTCATTTAATGCATCAATTGATTTATTCAATAAAGAATTAAGATAATCATCATCTTTTCTCATTTTTTTTTGCAATCAGCACAATTTCATATTAATTTTAATGTTCCAAGTAATTCATTTAAAATATTATTAATTCTAATTTGTTCAAATTCAAAGATAATTGGTTTACGTAATAAATCATATCTTGGATAAATTGATTCAATTAATAATTTTAATTCATTTGCTAATCCATTTGGAAATTTAATTACTTCCATCAAGAGAAATAAATGTATCACAATTTTTTTTTTCAAATGATCCACTATTTACATATCACATGTGATTATAAAAATATCAATCATCCCTTCTACATTATTTTATGGCTTAATTTTTGTTAATAATACCACTACTACATCAGCATCACCAATTATACTGATAATTGCAATAATGAAATGATCAAATTAAAGATTTTGGATTTGTGGATAGGTAATTATACAGTGCAGGACACCTAATCCCGCAACTTACTGCGCCACGACGACGAATTTTGTGAAAAATTTCCAATAAAAATTGTTTTGTCATGTGATATTTCCTAGTCATTCCATAAATAGTAAAATCGGCAATAAGAATAAACATTGGGTTACCTAATATGGATGTGATCATCAACTAAAAATTCAAAAACTTATATTTTGTTTCAATTTATTCATTTTTATATAGTTGGCTTGGTCTAAAGACCTCCTAAATTTTGGGCAACTTTTAAAAGTATAGAAGTCACTTTCTGTCCTACCTTTTAAAAAAATAGCTCTATTAATTGATAAAATATGTCTTTAGTTTAATGTAATAGAGAGATTTTCTCAAAAAAAATATTTGTTGTAGAGTTCTATTCTTTTTTAAAACATGTACTTTACAATGCTCGCGAGGAATTTGTCCTCTATGATCATTTCTAAATTTAGGAATAATATTACCAAAATTAGACTAGCTTTTGACTATCGTATCTAAATTTGGCAGTAAGAAAACTAAAATCACGTGAAGTCCTATTTTTTGAAAAATTTTATTCCATTTTTGAACGAATTACAAAATTGCTATTTTAAAATTTGGCCGCATGGCGCAGCAATATGAGGTCTTTAGACCGAGCCAACCATATATAAATCGCGTGTAACGCGACAGTTTTGGGCTTAACATAGTAAACTTGTGCAACTTTGAGGCTTGATTTCTCCATGGTAATGTGACATATCAACAAAGTGAAATCGTAGCTTTGTGGAGAAAGGTCTTAGCTTCAAAATCATGTTTTGTTTTTTTGGTGTTACATTTCCATTTCTGGTATACTAAGGATATACAAGACCAATAAAAAGTTGTGGGACTAGGTGTCCTGCACTATAGTACATACATGCTGTGATCCATTTATTGTGTTAACGGGATTTGAATTTGACGTAATAGTAATAGCAGTAATCTATTTTATTTTTATTTCTCCAAAATTTTGCTGGTGTATTAGTATTAGTATCATTTGATTTAATAAAATCTATTTGAATCTACTAAAACAAATAAACAAAGGATAAATTTGTTATTTATCAAAAAAAGAAATAAAGAAACTTTAAAGTATATAAACATGATTGATTTTGAGATTGACATCAAAAAAATTTGCAACATTAAAAATCATTAAACTTTATACATTTAATAATATTATTTTCTTTAAAAACAATGCTGTTTAAATTGACCACTACTTGTGTGATTGATCACTAAGAAACAAACAATTTCAGAATTATTGAAATTAACGCCATTACAAAGGTGAAATAAAATAATAATCTTTTAAATATAATTAATTATATAGATAAAAAATAAACATGACTTAGCTTATTTAATCCTTTCTTCATATGTGAATTCCTTGTCCTCGCATCCATCACAATGATTATTCAACACATTTGATATCATCATTGACATAACAAACAATTGCATCACCCACGTAGTAATAATACCAAGGCCATGCATGAATGAAACTTTTAATAATGTGTGTCTACCAGATCTCTGGGGTTCACAAAATAAATTATTTTTTCCTGGTTATCAATTATGGTTCCTTATGAATAATAAATCTGATGTTGATTGCAGGTGTCAGATTTAATAAAAATTTCCTAACACAAACATGCAGTCAAGTGCTCTTAACACGCTTCAGCACTATGGAATTTTCCCCACAGTTGAAGCACCCCACATGTTGGAAAACTTTTTAAGGTGGGCAAAAACTTCCCTCATCTTTCCCTCAACCAAGACTTGGCCATTTCCACGTGAGCATGGACCACTAGTCAGAGTTAATACTCGAGCAACATTTGCTTCGTGTTACCTTCCCACCTAGAGGTGTCCAGCTAACATGCTTGTCCACGTAATATCAACTCAAGTGCTGTGAGGAAGGATCAGGTAGGATATGCAGAAGTGCCCTTGACAATGATCTCAATAAATTCCAGGGCCATGTTGCTCCCTCCTGGAATTCAGTCGCATCATCATACCATCGGAAGAATCTTGGTCAGGTTAGTCTTGTTAACGTGAGGAACATGTGAGAATAACTATAAAGTGTTCAAGGTAGTGTGCATGCCTCAACACCTGCAAATCCAATAATCAAACATTACATATCCTATCTTTTAACAGTTCTTGACATCTTATAATTTTTATTTAATATTAATATTAATAAAAGTCACAAAAAGAAAAACGATGTCTCATTTATTTGTTATAATTACCTAATATATGACAAGTTCTGCTCCACATGTTGATTTCAGTGAGATATTTTATATTAAAAAAAAGTGTATCGATACCAAAAAAAAATGCGTGTCGCCTCTCGTCATTAATGAACAACATGTTCTCTTTGGGAAAGCCATACGTTTCTTCGTCTTGAACTCTGTAAAAATATAATCATTTTCTTTATTAAAAAAAAAAAAAAACAATTTGTACGACACGTGCGTCGCGTAAATAATAAATTAGCATATGCTGATTAAGTAACAAATAATCTTTTTTACTTTAAATTTTTAAGATGTCGGATAGAACCCGAACCAGAAAAAGATGTCAAAATGAAGTCGCTAGTTTCGCTGGGTAAGTGTTATTTTTATTAACGTTAAGTTATTGACGCGTGTTGAGTAAATTTCTCTCACATGATCTCCCATCTATACTTTAAAAAAATTTCTAAGCAAAATTGGATCAAGGTAAATATTATTAGAGTGGTTGTGATCATTATCATCATTATAGTTTAACTAATCATTATAACCGTTATTGCTTTTTTAATTCATTTCAATTTAGCAATAAAATTGTAAGTCACTATAAATGTCCAAATTTCGATCTTTATCTTTAAAATTCAGAGTTTATATATATATATATATATTTGTGCAGAATAATTTTATAACTAAACTAGACAATACGTCAAACGAATTAAAAAATACAAATGAAACATCGTTAAACCATATATTTAATCAGCATGAAGAATTAATCAATTCAATTGACGGTAATTTAAACCAAGTAATGGATCTTATCAGGGTAAGCATTAAACCAATGTTACTTTTTTATATTTTTCACTTACAAAAATTTAATTTTTATGTTCCCTCCCTCCTTTACAGAATAATAACGATGTTAATAATGAGAACAGCAATGATGATATCGTAAGCTTTAAAAAATTTCTTTCAAAATTTGATTCAAATATCTCATCTAGTATCAATGTTACAGAACTCAATGGATGAAAGGACTGCTGATACAAATAATAATAATATTAATGATATTAATGATGGCTGCCATGATAGATGTGAGTATTGGTTTTTTAATAATGAGAAACTAAATACAGATGATACATATATATGTGCACATATGTATCTGAAAAAGCAATTATTTATAATATATTGGTAATAATTATAATATAAGCTGGAAATTCCACAAGGTTACGTAGAAATAAACCTGGTACTGTGGCTTTACAGGAAATTAGGAAATATCAAAGGAATACAAATCTTTTATTAAAAAAATTACCATTTTCTCGGGTTGTGAGTAAAAGTGCTCCTATTTTTAATATATTGATTATTGTTTTTCCATAAATTAATTGTAAATTTTTTTTTATGTATATTCATACATACATTTTGTATAGGTTCGAGAAATTGCAATGGAGCTTTTCCCCTGTGATTCCCAAGTTGGCTTCAAATGGCAATCATCAGCTATATTGGCACTTCAAGAAGGTAATTTTATATAAATAGGCATATGGCATATATATAAAATATTTAGTTATATTGTCAATTGAACTCATTAACCTCAATATATGTGTATGAATGTAATTGTTTTATTGATTTTTTATAGCTACTGAAGCATATATGGTCTATGTCTTTGAAGATGCGTATGTATGCCATTTTCTAAAAGAATGCAATAAACTTTTTTTGTTATTAATTTATTATTTATTTTCTCTAGGAATTCATGCGCGTTGCATGCTAAAAGAGTTACATTAATGAAAAAGGATATGGAGTTGGCTAATAGACTTCGTGGTAAAAACCACTTTTATCCATAGTGAGTATGTGATACAATTATCATTATTGTTTTATTTCTGTTTAATATTATTAGCATCATTAATCTTTAAATATTATTATAATTTATAGGATCTTGTTATCGCTATTACTACCATCAAGATCGTAATGGCATTTCATTTAAAAGATATTATCATCATTAGAAATATCGAGTATAAAATACTAATATAAACATATAAACATTAATATTTTATATAAATACATAATAAAATAGTTTTTCCTATATATAACAGATACATTTCAAAATATTGAAAATCAAAAAACAATCTTAATAGATTATATGAGCATTATTATCACTACTAGTATAACAGTTGTAAAAATTGTAAAAATTATAATTTATATATTAAAATTGAAGATGAATTTATTGCATCAAAAATTGTTGAATAAGTTAAATTGAAACGAATACAAGTAGATGAAGATAATAAAAAAAAGGAAAATTGAAAATATTTTTTATCATCCCGAATAATATTATTAATATTAAATAATTACAATATATATAATCGTCTGATGTATATAATTCTACAATCCTAATAAAACCACAATATGTAAGAAATTATTAGGATAGCAAAGATTGAGAAGCTCATACTATTGGAATATCTAATTGTGGGATTATACCATGAATAATAGGTGCAGCAAAAGAACTCTCATTTGATATAGGTGGTGGTGAAGATGATGGAAAAAAGTCTGGAAGAATTTGGTGTAATACATTTCCAAGTGTAAGTTGATTACCTAGATATTTATGTATGTGCGAATTGAAGTTATTTTTGATTATTAATAATGTGAATTGAGTAAAAAAAATTTATTAATATACCATTTTCGCTTAAAGGAGAGATTGATTCTTGTATTACTGGGCAATCATCAGGTAAATATATTCAAAGTGGAATATGTCTTGGAACTTGGCCATCATTAATTACTAAACGATAATTCATGCTCCAAAATTTATCATAATCCTCTTTTTACATTAATAAAAGTGATGATGGTGGTGTCATAGTAGTTAAAGATAATAAAAAAATACAATATAGATATACTGTTTTGTATTTTATAAAAATAAATAAAAAGGATACTAGATCATAATCCATCCCAAAGTTGGGTTTGATCGTTTTTTGATAAGTTCATACTTTCTTTGTTGTGTCATTTCTAAGAAAATCTGCCTAGTAACAACAACATTATCATTATTTAATATTATTTTCTAATTATCAATTAATAATTAATTAATTAATTAAATTTAAAATACTCTACTTTAATAATAGACATGAAAAAATCTTGAGTAGCATCAATAGCCTGAGCTCTTATTAGTTTATCATCAGGAAAGTCTTTAAAATGAACAGTTACAGATCAAGGTAATGGCGGAGGACTATTTGAATCTGGTCTATATCCTGTATGTAAATCGAATAGTAGTCCGATTGGATAATGCCTTTTTATTAATTATCATCATTATATTGTTTTATGGTAGAAGTAGAGAGTGACAATATATATATATATATTTACCATTTCAAAGGTGTTCCATCAACATCATACCATATTTCTGCATCGTCAACAATAAAATTCATCGCCATATCACAAAAGTATTTTCTTATTGCACTTGTTAATAATGGGAAGTATGAACAACGAGGTGCTTCTATCTATCACAATTAAACGATGAGAGTGAGTGAGTGATGAGAATGCTAAACCTGAAAGTTTGAAAAACTTACAAAATAAGGTTCAATTGTTTTTACACCTAATGCTTCAGCCTTGTTATTATCTAGAGAAAATTTAATTAGCAAAGCACCATCCCAGATGGCTCTAGCGATTGGATTTTGAGGTGCTATCATTTTTCTTAATCAGATAAAAGAAAGTTGCACAAATTTTTAACATTAAATATTGATATATTTTTATATAGAGGTAATTCTATATACCACTTAATATTAAGAAGATAACAAATGGAAGATTTTAATAATCACATTACTAAATTTTGACCCCTGAAATATTTGGTAATACCAATTACAATGTTCACTTTGTTGCAGCATGCCCCATATATATATTATTTATTAAAATTAAAATTAAAAATTTTTTTTTTAGAAAATTAATACTTTTATTTTAAATATAGATGACTATCATGACATACACCAATCAAGAATGCCAAACACTACTTCAACTTCACAAGTTGCACATATGATGACTATGACAATAAATACTCCAAATATCCCTTCAATTTATTACTTATCTCCATCTGGATTCAAAGTACATAATCCAAATCTTGTAGACTCTAATAGTTTAATATATTATTTATATAATACATATATGAACAAATTTAGTGTTAGTTATATAAATAGAAAATCATTTTGGTCAGTTCCAGAAATGACTCTCTTACCTGAAAAAGAATTAATAAACACATTATCAATTCACTCATACAATACCAACTGGATTCAAGAAGATATGTATAATATACGTACAATGGATTGTGTTAAGTTGATTGAATTTCAAGAGTTGAATCTTAAATCACTGGATGATTATTTAAAAGCAGCAAATTTTTTATTTCAATTTTCTGAAATTCAAGATTATATTCAAACAAATATAATCCCAATATCAGCTGACTGGCCTGGCCAGTTATATATTCGTAGTGCAATTACTCAAAAAATTTTAAAGTTAAATAATAATATTCCTGATCAAATAACTAAGTTAGTTCCTTTAATTGGTCCTCTACACATCTCACTAAACACACGTGAAACAACATATAAAATTTTTTATCCTTTTTTTAATAAGCTCTATTTGTATGTTTTTAAGGCTAAAAAAGATCTTGGAGAAAGAATATTTCCATGGAAAATTAATTTACTTCTATATCTAAGTTATGGTGGTTGGAAGTTAGTTAGGCAAGAAATCTTAAAAAAATTTAAACTATGTAAAGATATTGAATATGCAACTAGTATTGACTTGTTAGATAATATCATTCCCTCTGTGTTGGATATTTATGGAGTTTTATTTCGAGGAGGATTTTTCGATGAATATATTGAAACTTTATTTCGTGTATGGACTTTTATGGCAAGATTTAAAAGAAAAAATTATGATAAGGCTATTTTGGCTTTTCTAAGTGATATTTTTTACTGGAATCAAATTAATCATCCAATTTACAATTTTATTAGGCAATACTTATCACTATTTCATGATAGTTATGTAGAAAACTTTCACTCTTTATTACGTAGATACACATCTGATAAAGGTTTTGATCCAAAAAGATTAAGGCGTGATGCTTTAGTTATAGATACTGAAAAACATAATAATAATTTTTTAAATGCATTTGTTGAAAAAAAAAAATATCCTTATTCAAAAAAAAATATAGATTGTATGCTAGAAAGATCAGCTATATTTTTATTACAATACTTTGAATCAGTTTGGAATAATTTAGGTAAAACACAAAAACTTACAAAAAGAAAAGCAAATGAAAAACAATATTATGATCTTCCAACAATGGGTAAATTATGGGAAGTTGCTTTACCAACAGCTTTTCTTTCATCACACATTCCTAATACTCAAAAATTTTGTGATGCCAACTTTTGTAAGATTTTAGATCAAAATATTCCAAGCTATTTTTTAACTTGTGGTCATTCATTTCATATTATTTGTTTTAACAGGCAAAATAATTTATGTGTTTATTGTTACCAATATTTTTCAGAAAAGATTAATCAATTAGTTCCTTCTTTTATTGAAAGATTGAAAAAATCTGGACAAGATAACAATAAAAAAAAGAAAAAAAAGAAAGACAATGATAATGATAGTAGTAGTTCTGAAGATGAAAAAAATATTAATGATAATGATGAATTTATAATTTTTCAAAATGATGATTCTGCAAATAAACAATTAACTGAAGCATTAAATAAGTACCAACAAAAAATTATTTTAACTTTAAAAATTTATAATTTAAATTAATAAAAAAATATTTATCTAAATTATCCAATAGGTTTCATAAAAATTGTAATCAATAATAATATTAAAAATTAATATAATATTAAAAAAATAAAATTTTTTTTTGATCTTCAAATGTTACACAAAAATGGGAATTTCCACCATGCTTAATATGTACACGTCGATCAAATCACAAACTACTATTTTTTTCTTTTCATAAATATTTAAAGATGCCAAAAGAAAATATTAAAAGAAGTAAACAAAATAAAGAATTTGAAAGAGGGTAAGTGTTTTAAGGATGGTGGTGGTGGTTATCGCCCGCCACTTGCCGTCACTCTAATTACTCATTTATTTGTATTTTATTTATTTGTTTATTATTTATTTATTATTTTAGTTTGAATCTTGACGAGTATGCCATGATTGACAAAAAATTGGCACTTTTCTCAAATATGCCTCTTGAAATATTCTTCCGTGTTTGTGAAGATTTACCACCATCCGATTTGTTGGCACTAATGCAAACATGTTCAAGATTCCATTTTATCTTAATGGATGATGGAACCCAACAAATTTGGAAAAAAGCAAGAACAGCTTATTTTAAAGGACTGCAACGACCTCCCCCACCAAACTGGAGTGAATTACAATATATTAGATTCTTCCTTGCTTCACCTCGATCCTGCATGTATTGTGGTATTATTGAATCAACTGAAATACATTGGCAGTTTCATGTAAGATGCTGTACTAGATGTTACAATGCAAGAACCACTACAAGAGAGTAAGTAATTATATAAAGTTTAATTGATTAAATAATCATATTTATTCATTTATTTATTTAACAATTTCAGAAAAAAGAATATTAGAGATGATAGTTTCTATGTAAGATTACCTTATTTATTTTTATTTCAGAAAGATGGAATTAATGTACAGTTCTGGCAAAAAGATATTGATGAGAATTTTAGAAAATATGGATTAAGATCCGTTAAAGCTTATGATGATGAAGAAGGTAAAAAAATGCTTGAAGTTCAAAAAAAATTCATGGAAGAATGTGAGGATCGCAATAAAGAATGCAGTTTGTATATGAAAAAATCAAAATGGCTTATTGTGAAAATCAACAAACTTGTTGATAAAATTCTTATGAAGGGGAAATTAACATTAAATTACAAATCTCATTATATTCAATCTCATTTTGCTTCATACAAAAGAGCAATTTTCCATTTTGCTGAGGTTAATCTTAATCATAATAAACTTCCAAAAGAATACTGGGAAAGATTAAAAAATCAAATAATCTATGAAGCAGAAAAGCCACATCGACAGGAACTTATATTGAAATACTTGTTAAAAAAATGGCCTCGCCTTGGACCTAATAAACAAGCTGCTACAACATTCCCTGAAAAGATAGCTAATCCTCTTCGAGATTCTCAAGTTGATTGCTACACAATTCTTCAATATTGCAATAGTTACAAGGACCCACCAATATACCAAGGTGATGCCTATACTATTTATTCAGAGAAATATCTAGAAGAGCAAGTAATACCGGTGCTAGAAAATGAAGCAAAAAAACTTGATTCTTATTTCCCTGAAGGAAATATTATCACAATAAAATCTGCAATTATTATGGGTATCAAAGCACCAATTTTTAGTTGCATGTTGTTAGATTGTGGAGAAAAACATATTCATCATTATTCACCAAAAGATATGGAACATCATCTTAATACCAAACATACTTCATTTTTTGAACAAATTATGGCAGAACATGACAAGGTCCGGGTATGTTTAGAGGAAAATATAAATTTATTTGGTGATGATGATAAATGCAAAGATCAAAAATCACAAGAAACATGCCAGAATGAACATAGTAGATCTATTGAACACCAAATAAAACATGAAGGAATTAATAATGGTAATGAACATCAAGAAAAAAGACCTCAAACTAATAATCAACTTCAAAAACCACAAGAAACATACCAGAATGAACATAGATCTATTGAACACAAAAGAAAACATGAAGAAATTAATAATGGTAATGGACATAAAAAAAAAAGATCTTGAACTAATAATTGACTTCAAAAATCTATCAAATGAATGGAGATCTGTTAAATTTTATTATAAAAAAATTACTTGTGTGTAAAAAAAAAATTAGTATTTTTATTATAACAAATAATGCATATGTATATATATATATATTAATTAAATTATAAATAAATAAAAAATTTCCTTTTGCATCTTCACTACATGAAACATTTTTTATAGATTATAAATGATTGATGGACAGACAATGGTAAATTAATTATTGATCCAGTTATTTATCACTTCACATTCATCATATCAATTTTTTTTAATATTACCGTTTCTGTTGAGAAATTTTGGACATTTTTTCAATTAAAAAAAATAACCCCCATTTATTCAATCAGTAAAAATTTTTATGATAATAACAAGCTCGCAACTGAGAAAGCAATCACACATACTATGTTACACACGAACAAAAATTCATTTATTTTAATTTGGGTTTGGGATTGCATCTTCTTTGTCGCAAAGAGCAAAAAACTGACATCACTCAGGCCAAGACACAGTAGTCTATTTTGTAAACCCATAACATATAAATAGGACAGCCGTTTTTTTGAAAAACTTGGATCTTAATCTTTATTGTCATCCTCAAAAAATTGTGATTCATTGTTGTTTACTACCTGTTGCCATAATAATAATGCTTCTCATAATTGATGGATTTCATATATTACAAATGTAACCAATTAACAAATTTTATCTCTCTTTTTTCTTTTTTAAAATGTTCCTTCTAAATAAAATAAACAATAAAAATTAACAAGAGTGAGGTCATGCCACGAATGATCAATACACCCAGCATGAGCCACCAGCAAGAGTTCCATTCTCTCACTCATTGGACTTTAATAACACATTTAAGCGAGTCACATGAGCTCGC